GGGGGGTTGAAATTAGCAAGATCTAGTTTGCATTTTCTAAAATAAAAAGTTGCTATTTTACATTTTCTCCTTGGCTGATTATCTTTACTTAGGGCATCCACACATTTGGGCTTTGGATTTCAAATTTTAGCGTTGATTTTTAAGCAGCAAATAATAAAATCCTCACACCAAGGGCAAATTAGCAAATAAATTCCAAGAGCTCGAAATGTGAGCAAATAAATAGATCTAATCTCTTCTGGGTTGTTAAAACATATATATGTATACATATACATTGATGCTATTTAAATGCAAAGAAATACACCACATCCTGCACAAACTTGTAATTATTGATTACGAACAAAAACAAATGCTCTATTACTCTGAGTGTATTCAACAGTGCATATAAGGCAAACCTTTATCTGCATTGGGTTTCTGAGTTGTATAAAATCTTTATGACTTTTCCAAGTTGTGATTTCAGAGATGCATCAGAGATCTGGCCTAACGTCTCACGTACACAAGACAATGTACAGTTCTCTGAATGCTTCCTGGGAGACCCATTCAACTTTCCGTGGTTCTTTATTTCTCATGCTGGAAAATAACCAGAATCTATATTGCCTGCTCCTTGTACAAGTGCTGGCCACCATGCAGGTCACTGCTCCAACTACATGGCTCATTGCCCTTTTCACCAATAAAAACACGGCCTTCTGAAATTTACATTTTATTCATCATGCACCCTTGGGCTTCTTCGAGAAAAAGACTGTGAAATTAATGCAGATTCAGGCTGATTTTATAATAATAGCACAGCACACTAAAAGCTTAGCTAAAGCAGTGCAGACTTATTTCACTTATGATCTCTAATGACTTTAAAAGTGCATTGATTTTCAGCTTCTTTAGCTTTGCACAGTTTGAACTTAGGTATCAGAGAATAATTTAGTGTTCCACTCAATTTCTTCAAAACATTATTATTATTACTACTTAAAAGATTTCCAAATGAGGCAGATCTAAACACTGAGTGGCTGAAGCCTGTTGTCATTTCGGAGTGAATGCGCGGGAAGTGGGATTCTGGCTCTTGCCCTGTGGCCAGTAAGCCAAATAGGTTGTTCCGCATCCAAACAGCCAGTGGACTGTTTGGTTTATGTAAGTCAATTTCTGAGCCATCAAATAGATTTTCTTCATTTGCTCTGCATGTGTACCTGGTGAGATTATCAAGTCAATACTGCATTAGCACCTTTTAATCAAACAGCAATAAGAGAAAGCAACACCTGTCCATTTTCCCCAAAGCACAAAAACATCCAGTCATGAAAATAAGTCAATGCATTTTTTTTTGCATCATGCTGTAATTTTTAATACAACAAAACTCTTAGTACATGGGAGATTCACCTCTCATTCACCTCCCGGTCCAGCTGGCCTTATGAAGCCTGAAGTCTAGCTTGCTATGAATGCCGAGCTGTTTCATACACTTCTCTGACATTATAGCAGCTAGTGAAACTCACTACTGAAGCACACTGTCTGCACCTCCACTGGCTGTAGCTTCTGTCATCAGTAAAGCTATCTGGAGCCTTCTCTAAGGCATCTAGAAGATGTGGGTAAGAGTGTGGGACATAGGATACCACCTCTACTTGGCTTCTGTATAACTCAGCTCTACAATTAGCCCCAAATTTACCATCCACCTCAAAGTAATACCCTCTTTCAAGAACATTGTGAATATCACCGACATCATTAACAGAAAGAAGTAACACTTAAGAATTTTCTTTTTCCATTTCTTGAGACTACAATGGGGGCAAATGCAATTAATCTAATGGAGAGATCTTGGACATCGTGTGAAGCCTGGGCTAACTCTGCCTTTAACAGTCATGGAGATTGTGTCATTCACTTCGTTTGCTCTTATTATCCAGGAACATGTGCCAAACTGACAGTTTCCAAAAGGAGGTTAAGAATGCATAAAAAAAAAAAAACCACACATGTAAAATGTCAACAGAAATCAATAAGGCACAGTTGATGCATTTACCACGATTTCAGAACAAGTACAACTTTTTAAAGTAACTTAGTGAGAAAGAAATAGCAATTAGCTGGTCTCAGAAGGATTAGCAATAGAATGATAAAATTCCATCTCTATAAACTCGAACCATTGCTCTTTCCTTTCTGAAACCTGCAATTAAAAGCTCGACTGATGCTTCTAATTATACAACCCTTACTGCATCCAGAAAAATGATCTGACAAATCTGATGACTTCTTTAACCTTTTTACTCTATTGGCAGTGGTGCAGTAAGAGAGAACCCATCTCCTCAGGGGCTCTGTCAACTTTGGTACCGTGTGCTGTGTTCAATTACTTAGGAGAGACAATTACTGTCGTTTATAAAGTGAGAGCACTTGTCGAAAATTCCCCTCTCTATGCCATTCTGGATGAAGTTCTACAACTTCAGGACTGAATGTTTCATGGTTTGGTAGCTTGTGAACCTTTGTGGCTTCTGTTAAAACAGGAGGCTGTATTAGTCCTATGGCTGGATTTTAATTTTTCTTTTCTATGTGGCTTTAGGATTAGGCCTCAGATCTGTGACTTTTCAAGAATATAGGGTCATATAAGCTCCTTGCATCAAGACTGGCTGCTAGCTTCTTCTACAAGCCAAAGGACTGGCTTTCCACTGGACAAAAGTAACTTAGGTCAACTGGCCCCTTTTTATGAAAAACAAGATTTGGGGTACAATGGAGCCCACTGGGTCTTGACAGAATTAACTGCTCTGACCTTACAGGGCCAGCCCTCCTCTGTTCTAGATTACTGGATGTACTGTCTCAGTAGTAAGTTCTCTGGCTACTGACCAAAATGCAGGAAACACTACAACAGAGAAAAAGACACAGGTACCAAGGAAATGAAGGGTTTTTGTTGTTGTTAGGTAAGATAGCCTGTATATTATTGTCTTAAAGCCTCTCCAAAAACATAATGGGGGGGGGTGGGGAGGAAAAGAAAAATTCCCTCCTTAAATGTGGCCAACCTGTAATTTACCTTACAATTATTTATGCTCTCCACTTTCAGAATGTCACAGATTGCTAACAGAAATGAAAGGAGCTGAACTCCTCCCTGTTCGGTGAGGTTTTGCCTTCTTGCTGCTAAAACAGATAAATGATTGACTGGGGAAAGGTTTCTCCAAGTAATTTCCTCCTACAGACAGGATCTAAGGAAATCACGTGGCCCTGTCACAGAGAAGATTCTGGAACACATCTATTACACTTGTCACCTCAACTGAAAAGCGGTCTTCACTCAGGTGTTCTACCTTTTCTCTCAGCTGCAAGAGAATTTTGAGAGAACTTGATGAATTCTTGGTCTGCAGAAAGAGAGAGAACAGGCACTTTTAAGGCACATACAATGCCAGGGCCTCCTGCTTTTCTGCTGCTTCTTTGCAAGAGAAGCAGCAGCCTGCTATGTTTCAACTGAGGGAAGCATACTTTAAAATAACTTGTGCAGCATGAAGGAGCTTTCAGCCTATGGAAAACTTGTTTATAAATTCCCAAAGAAAGTTCTCAATGCAGCCAATTTTCCTTGCTGTATCTTTTGAGCAGTGGCACGATTTATTAAAACACACGCTACCAGTATAATAAGAGAGCATCAAAACTAACACACCAATGCACTGTCCCTGATGTTGGGTTAGTTTATTTAAAATTGGCATGGAGAGATCACTCGTTTATGGCACCTGAGGCTGAGGGCAGAATAGGACTTAAGAGTTTACAAAGTTTCACCCCTGAGATGAGATTTGAAGATTGTATTCAGAAGAAGATGACAGAATGCAGTTAATAACCCAGGGGCATTTGATACGAGTTTCCACATATGCTTAGATACTACTTTGTGGGCAAGCCTACAATGTCGTGATCAAAACGGAGTCTGCTCTGTGTACATGCTTTTAAAGTCAAAAGCCCGATCCTAATATTCTGATCAGATATAACAGAAACAAATGAGGATTTAATGGCTACAACCAGTCTGTGCTCGCCAACATCCCCGAAAATATTGCCAATTCATTTGTCAAGGGTTTTGGCAGGAGAATGTTGGAACACCATAAACACAGCTGGAATATTCTTAAACAAGCAGAAAGTTACCTTAAATGGCAGTGAAGATTTGACTATACTTTATGGGAAAGAAAAATGAAATAAACTCTTTCATTGTCTCCGAGTTACAGATAATCGTTGCCATGGTGCAGAAAACCCTGTAGACTGTACCCAAATAGTCCATTCTGACTGTGGGATTATGGGTAAGTGAGAACATGTGTATTTTAGGAAATCAGCATGCTAAGGGGACGCTGACAACTAACTGCACTGGCTTGGATGACGTGAGCTTTGCTTCTGAGAGCAAACATCCCATGTGACTTCCCACGCATGGACTCCGTGGCCTCCTGCTCGCTTTCTCAAACAAGGTTCATACGGCAAGCCTGGGGGTTGGCCTGCCACTGCAGAGGGATCAGAGTGTTGTGAAGGGGCCTGAACGCAGCCCAAACCAGGTTTTCCAAATGAGAAGAGATGGCAGAACGGGTCACTGCCCCCCAAAAGGGGAAAATGCGCACTTAGATGCGGGCATACTGCGTCAAGAGAGTCAGACTCCTGACATCTGCTGAGTGCTGGTCTCAGTGTGCCTGGCAGATAATGGCTGCGGTCCGTGGATAGTCATGACAATTCCTGGGGGGGGGGGGGGGGGGGGGTGTCATGGCACAAATCTGGACGCTGGGGAGTACTGATGGGACTCTGTAAATAGCCCTTCTTGCCAACATGGAGATGAGGGATTTTGTTTTAAAGATGGTGATTCTAAGTATAGCAGAGCCGTGGGCCCTGGCAACTCGCTACTCCGAATCAGTGGGGCGGAGAAGCTTCCACTTCATAGCCTGCGGGGAGGGGCAGAAACTACTGAAGTAGCAGAGAAGAGATGACAGGAGACACCCGCAGGGGAGCTAGCGCCACTCACTAACTGCCTCTCTTGTCTGCGTTCCCGTAGCCGAACTGGGCAAGGGCAAAGGCAAAGCCAGAGAGGTGAACCACTTTTCTGTCCCTCTCCCTGATGATCGGATGGTTTGATTTGACAACTTTTTTACTGACTAGTTCAATACTCGGTTTAGTATTAGAAGGTGCTTTTCAGAGCAGCCAAGCTTTCCCTTTCACCAATTTATGTATTTATTTACATCTTCAACGGCTGAGCCGACAACAGGCCTTGAGAACAGAAACGCTGAGCACCCTTTCTCTGCAGAGCCACTAACGGGAGACACTTATTAATATTTGATTGAAAACTGCAATTCTTTAATGAAAGCAAAATAGTAGCACGAAAGAGAATTGTTCTTTTAACAAATACACTGATTCAGGAGCAGTCCCCTGTACCCAGGAGTCCCCGGGTCTCGCTAATTGAAAAACCTACCACTGTCTGCCTTTGTATTTCAGAACAAATGGTTATAAATGAGTATTTTTCTTTTTGCCACAGGGAATCCTCATCAGTTCACCAGAAATTACTTTTCTGTTAAGAAGAAGGAGAAGAAGAAGAAAAAGGGCAGGGAGGAGCATCTGACTCTTCACACCGGGCCGGCATCCGCATAAAATACGGATGAGGCTGCTCCCATAACTTGTCTTAGAAATCAGCTGCTCCGGGTTTCCAGTGCTGGCTCATCAACCACACGGCAGATCAAATGAGCCAAGCGCTCTTGTCGAGTACTGCGTCCTCCTCTTTCCTGCGAAAGCTGGGGCTGCTTTAAAATCTTATCTGCAGGAATCCCTCCCGGACGCTGAAGGAGCTCTACACACTGCAGGCACAGCGCTCTTCATTGTGGTCTGCGCTGGCCGGACACAGAGAGTGCGTAGCGCGCCCCCTCCGGCAGAGGGAGAGCAGCGGTCACAGTGTCGCTAGGCCCTGGGGATCGTCCGCTTATACAGGACATCTGCCACACCGGGGAGCTAGCGACGCCCGAGGAGGTGAGCGGGGCGCGTGTTGTGACTGCTGCCATCTGCAAAGGGGGAGACCGAGGGGCGGAGACAGGGAAACGAACTGACTCTGGTTACAGTTCATGTCAGAAGTCCTGGGACTGGACGTCGGGGGTCACTGACCTCTAAGCCACTATAAATGTCACTAGGATTTCCTCAGGGGCCTGCCTTTCTGTTCCTTCCCCGCGCTGCATGCCTTGGTGCATGAAAAGCTGCCAACATGGAAGCGTGACGGTGAATAAGAACAGGCGGGGACGGTGGCTCTGACTGCTACAAGGGCAGCGGGAAAGGACCACGAAAATGCGATCTCGCGTTGCCTCCCTACTTTATTCTGTCTAGCCGCACCGCCGGTCCCCGGGGCCTCTCCCCCCTGCTGGCCCGCCTGAGTGGGCACGAATCGATCACGACTGCGGCACAATCAGACGATCCGACGTGACTGGAAGCTCTCACGGAGTCCACGTGCTGCGGTGGCACAGAGGGCCCCGGGACCGAGGTCCCCCCGCGTCCCCTTGCACCGGAGGTTGTGCGGTCGCTGGCATGGGGCGCGGCTGTGGGTGCCGCCGGCGACAGCGTGGGTGCTATGCTACGGCTCAGCCCCGGGCACCGCATCCGCGCGGGACCTGTTCAGCTTTCAGAGCGGCACGTGTTTTCCGTGCGGCGAGTGACAACCTTCGGAGCGATCAGGGAACGCTCCGGCCGTCATTCCCAAGCCACCTTCGGAGCAAAGTACAGGGACCGCAGGCTCGTGGCTTCCTCCTCCTGTCCCCCTAGACTACCTCCTTGTGGGGCTCTGGAGGTGGACGTGGGCGGAAAACTCCGGTTCTCTGCGCCTGCGGCTCCCCCAGCTGACACCGGGAAGTGTCACGTCTCTAAGTCAAAAGAACCAATGTTCTTCCTCACATGGTGCTGAATTTAGCTAAAATGAGGGAAATGGGTGGAAATTAGTGCTTTGGGACTCAAGGGCCAACCTTTGCTTTCGGCATGTGGCTCGAGACGGCAGTGCTGTCCCAGAACCTGAGACCAGGAATGAAAAGAAGTTTCTAATTAGCCCCGCGGAAACTGTATCGATAAGCACATTAAGAGAATGAAATGCTCTTTGTACTGCAAACGTACGGAGCTCTTAGAAGAACTGGAGGATATGTTTTACAGATACACTCTGACTCAGGCCTCCTGGGCTGTCTCGGGAAACACGGTCAGATGAGGGTGAATTCTGGAGCGCTTGCGAGCGGTGGAGGGAAGGGTCTGTGTGGCGCTGTCCAAGGGGAGGCAAACATGGAAAGAAAACAGTTAGCTCCAGCTGCCGTGGATGGCTGCTGGCAAAAATACTGGTTTTCATCAATGCTCGAAGCCACAGCGGCCGGTTCCGTCACGGTGACAAAGAGGAACCTGCCATCTCCGGGACCGCGTCATCTCTGCCACTTCATGGACTTCCTGCGCTCAGGCCTCCAGGAGTTCTGCTCTTTGAAATCAAAGCCTGAGACCCCAGGACAGGCCCAGTTATTCTGAGTCCCTACCTGCTCTGTGCTACGGGGAACCACTGATGTTTGTCCTCGGTTTCTATCGCCATCAAGCGGCCTGTCCCCTCCCCATTTCTCTCAGGCATGGGCAGAAAGCTGGAGACTCGGATGAAAACAACAAATATTCTCTCTCCTCCTCCCCATCTCTTCCTCATCCGCCAACATCTACTTCAGTGTGAGATAGAAAGGGATGTGAACGACAGGACAGCCTGTCGGCCTCCGGGCTGGCCGGGACAGCCTGAGCTAATAAGTTGGCATCGAGACCTTGTCGACCTGAGAAATACAAGGTGATCACTTCGACTACGGTGAAAAGTTCAGGTTGGACAACTTGATCACACGGGACGCATTACAGGGTGACCTCTTGCTGTGTGCGGTGGCTACATCTACCTTGATGGGGACACAGAGTTCCAATTAGCACTTGAGGGAAGAGACTTTGCAGACAGCACACTCACCTCGACTCAGCCCGTCGGGTCCCCGGAGAATCCGGCATTCTTCTATCTGGCCAAATGGAGAAAACATCACCCTGATATCATTCTCATTACATTTCTTCGAAACCATTCCTATGAACAATTTTCGGTCTTCCACGGCTAGGAGATAAAAATAATGAATGAGCAAAGGCCATTTTATCCCGTTTCTTGTAATCACGGCTTCATTACCACATCAAACCGGGTCCCAGCCACGTGAGACCCAGCATGGGCCGAAAGCCAGCTCTTTCGACTTCCAGGCTGCCTTCCTTCTCCACCCCACCCCGTCCTGCCTCTACTCTCCCTTCCTGAACACTGCCTCTTTCTGGCGCTTGTTCTTACCAACATGACATCTTCAGAGGACATGGAACACTGTGAGGTCCTCTCTTCCCAACCCTGTTTGGAAACTCGGTTTTCCCTAATTTGTTCAAGCTCCATGGAGTTGCTAAAATACTACCATTCCACAGAGATACTTTAGAATACAGGTTAAAAACATTTTTTTTTTTGGTAGATATTCTTTTAACTTGAAGAATGGCAGAGAAAGAAAAAGGTCAGGGAAAGAAAGGAACAGAGGGAGTGGGATAGGAAACAGATCTTTTAATAAAGCATTCAGTGGGGAAAACCTTCTCCCCCAACTTCAAATAGCTTTGGATCCATGGATCCAGACAGTAAGAAGAGATAAGAGAGATGCTCATCTCTCTGGAGAGCCAGTAAAGACCTTCCATGGCTGTCTGTCTGTCTGTCCGTCTGTCCGTTGCACTGGCTGTGCAGCTCTACCCAGGACAACACAGGGTTTGCAAGCGAAGAGGATGGCAATTCCAAGGAAAGAATGGGACTGGGGCCACCTGAGGATCGCACCAGGATGACCCCATCGGGAACCTGTAACAAGGAGGGAATAATACTGTTCTACAACCCAGAGGCAGGACTCTTGATGAGCAAAAATACATTTTGGGTATCATGACAACAAGAAACCAATTCCATCGTGGAACCTGCCAGGAGGTACAGACTAGGGAAGGTTTACCTCTGATGACCTGGGAGATTTTCCTCAAAATCTACAAGCTTGTGCTCAGGATAACTGGCCTACGTTTAGCCTCAAAGGCACAATTATAACTGATTTCAGGACAGTGTTTGCAGTCCTCTTTAGGAAAGAGAAAAGACAAAAAACAAAAAACAAAAACACCGAACATTCCCCTGCCTCCATTTTACAATGAAAACAAAACAAAACAAAACAAAAAACCCACCCTAGATGCCCATGGGGAGTTTTATTTCCCATGTTGCATTTTAACCCATTTCTTGAAATTTAAAGAAAGGACAACCAGCTGCACCAGCACCTGAGAGGCAGTCCTGGCTTCGGCCATCCATCCCTGTGTAGGGAACCCTTGCTGTCGTAGCTGTACCATAACCTCATCACTGCCATCTAACTGGCTTTTATCTCTCGGTTATTCTTTCCCTGGAGAGTCAGTGTCTCATTTCCACTTAACCGACAAGACCGTGTTATAGAATTTCCAGGGCCAGGTGCTTTTGGTGCCTGAGTCAAGCCGGCCCGGGGCGCCCGGGGAGCTGGGAGAGAGCCGCTGGTGATGCTGGGGCATCATGACACAGGGAGGTTTGCTCTGGAGCAGACAGCCTCGGAGGACCCGGCAGGAAGGGAACCGCTCCGTCTCGGATGTCCGCTGCAGTAGCTAAAGCCATGTGAGCACCTGGAACCTGGCTAGCGTGACTGAGGAACTGCACTGTTACTGTGAGTTAATTTTAATCTAATTTTAAAGAGCCACATGTGACACTATGTTGGATGGAGCAGCTCCGAGGGGCCTCAGTGAGGCAGCTAAATGCTCTCCCCACGGAGCCCCAGACCGGAAGGAAGACACGAAAGACGTGGTTCTAGTTGGCTCTGAAGCGGGGCAGTGAAGGAACTTGCCCGGGGCCGTACCTGATGCCCTACTCCCAGCCCTTCCCTACGAGAGCAGAGGAGGGTGAGGTGGCCTCCAGAGGAGCGTGGGGCGGGGGCGGGAGACTTGCCTGGTCCCAGCACTGCCGTCACGCTGATGCGTGACCTTGGGGAGTGAGTGAGTGGACTTCTGTGGACCTCAGTCTTGTCACCCACAGAATGAGGTTTAAAGTCTTCTCTTTCCTCGCTGTCTCTCCTCGGTAACAGAGAGAAGGCGGCCCAGCTGCATGTTTGGGGCGGGAGAACGCCAGAGCCCAGGATCCCACCTGCCAGCCACCCTCTGCACTTGGCAGCTCCTGAGACCCGGCAGGAAAACAAGGGCTCCGAGGGACGCCAGCAGAGACCACGATGCCACAGGACTGTGAGCTGCGGAGCGTGCGCCAAGAGCTCGAGAAAGGTTTGACGGGCGGAGATCGTGGCATTTAAGGTGGACTTTAAAGAGCTTGGGGAGAGCCTGGCGGAAGGACGGGGGCAGCAATTCCGGCGGCTTCTGCAGGGTGGCTCAAGGTATGAGGGAAGGAAAACTCGGTCCACGGCCGCTGCCTGCGTTGAGCCTCAGCTAGGTGGACGTGGGCAATGGCGTCACTGACTTCCCTCCTGCAGATGAACGATTTCACACCTCAGAAGCTCTTCTCTCTCCCGTCGGAGCAGGTGAGCCACCAGTGCGGTACTGGGAAGCGGTGCAAGTGAGTTAAGCATCCGTGCTCACCAACACCAGGGTGACCAGGAGTACACGGTGGCCCCAAGGGAACGAGGCATCCCCGTGATGCGCAGGACCGGACTGAAGCCTGGCAGAGCAGGCAGTGGGAAACTCTTCCAGTCGCAGCCTTAACTTCCCCCCACCCCCATCTCTGGGACTCCTACTTGAGGAAGCTATGGCTGATAGCTTCTTGAGAGTTAAAAACAAAACAAAACAAAACACAACTCAAAAAACAAATCCTGTCGAATTTCTTCTTATCCTGAAGAATCCAGCTTTAGTTCTTTCCAACAAAAGCCAATGACAAATCCCCAGTGAGTCCCTGGTTTCACTGGTAAACCTATCACGGTGGTACGCAGCTGAAGCATGTTGCCGGTTTTGAGCTTCGGGGTGATGCCGGAGCAGACTAAATGGGCAACTCGTGACTAAGCTAAAAAATAATTTTTAACCCAAGATGAAGAGTACGAACTGCTGGAAATCACCAGTAAACAAGCCCCGGCTTCCCAGGCATCACGACAGGCCAAATCTGGGCAGGGTGAAGGAGGCGAACTCTTTCTCCAGTAACGAGCAGCCGCTGAGGAAATAAAGTGGAAACCTACACGATCCACAGGCTTTCCAAAAAGCGGATTTCCTCCTGCGCATGCGCCGCGTCAGAGAAGCCGGATGTTCACAGTCGTGTTAGCGGAAGTCCTCTGTCGTTTTTAGCAGAGGGCTCCCTGTGCTTTAGTGGCGAATGGGGATAACGACCCAGTGCCAGCTTTAACCTCCTTCAAGTTTTCCCAGTGGAAATTTATGTGTAAGACTCATTCTTGGGATTCCCACTCGGAGGACCCCTAAACAGCTCTGTCACCATTTTACATAAACATAATTATCTTAGCATTTCACTTAACTTTTTTCATCAATTTCTGATGACTTTCTTGGTGGGGCTTTTCGTCAGTACTCCTAGGCAGTCAGTGTCTGTGTTCTATCCCCGGGAATGCAGATTGCTGAAATATACCTACTGTGTTTATAGCATTGTGTTAAGTGCCTTACGGAAATTAAAAAAAAAAAAAAAGAATGAAAAGGAAACGTCTCTGCCTTCCAGGAGGAAAGTCTACTTTCCTTCAGGATAACCCCTGAATGAGTAAAGGCAGATACTTTGTGTAGAGAACTCTGTGCAGGTGTGGGGCAAGTGCCATCACTAACAACCACAGAGCCGAAAAGGTGTTCCATACCGGCAACCGTTGCAAGTTCTCCTCCGGTGGTAGGAGACAGGGTTAGTATTTTAGGTTTTTAAGGGGGGATTTTTCAGTTTGGGGAATAGAAACTTTCATGAAAAAAAAAAAAATCCCTAATTGTAAGTCTGCGCTAACACCCCGGTGTATAATCTGTCAAAGTCACACCTGGATTCAGGGCGGCCTGAATTAATTAACAACTTTTCAATGTGTTAGTGCTAACATATGGCATTTAATTACTGCCTCCAAATCCGTGAGTCTCTCTGCTTTGAATTTCAAAATTATTTCTTCCTCTTCCAGTGAGTCAGAAAGTGACCGGATGGGAACACCCTGTGAACCCCATTTTCACTGGAGGCTTGCAGGCCTGCACCTCCCAGACAACATTTAGTTATCTTGACCCTGCGAGCTCTGAACTTGACACAGGGACACCAGGGGTTTTCGGAGGCCTTGAGAAAAGAGAAAGGGCTGACGTGGCATTTCTGGATGTGAGGTTTAAGGACCCCTGCCAAGTTGGGAGGTTGGAGTTAAGGTTAAAGCAGAATAAATTTATGCTCTGTCCACAGAGTGAAAAAAGAAAGAAACAAAACAAACCCCTCTCAACCAGGAGCATGACAGAAGAGTGAACGCTGGTTGGTCGCTGAGACCCCCAGCACAGAACCAAAGGCAACCTCTACGCTTTTCTTAGCACTTACTGCTAGACAAACTTCAGATCTCGCAACTGCGCTTACTTTTGAATTGTGCGCAGCTGGTACCTGTTTCTGCATCGCAAAGAGAGCTGGAAAAGCAGCCCTCTCAAGGTAGACAGAATGAAAGACTGTAAGTAACTGTGTTTGTGCCAGGGTAAGCTGTGACCTGGAATCCACACCTCCTCAAGCCTCTTCCCCTGCCATGACTCAACCGGATGCAATGGAAAAACAAGACAACTTGGATTCTGTGGAAATCTGGGTATTTATTCAATGCGTGTGTTCTTCTTAAAGGCCCCAATATTTTACTGCTGATCCGGAATGGATTTTTTTTTTTTTTTTTTTTGACACCTAGCACAGTTAGAAACACCAGGGCAGAAGTATAATGCTGTGAGTTTGCAGAAATGTGCTAGAGGCTGCAGCTTAAATCACAGCCAATTAAGAGGGCAGGCTATAGGAAGCCTGGAGATTTGGAAAGCCCGTTTGGTCGGCAAAATACCGAAGGGCAGGGCAGATCTATGAGCAGCCTAACATTTCTGGGCTTACCATGGCAGTTCCCTTTGTCAGAATCTCTA